TTATTATTATTATTATTATTATTATTATTATTATTATTATTATTATTTCTGGAAAGAAAGATGGAATTGTACAGGTTTATGTTTTTATTCATGAAAGAATGATGGCATATGCATATGGAAATAATTTTATAAATTATTAATTATTACTATATTCTACAGATAATTGGTTTTAATTGGTAATTAATTCAATTGATTTTTATCATAATCCTTTTGAATATAGTTTCTGGAACAAATACACACATACATAAGCTTATGCACACAAAGAAAACCTAAGTTATATTAAAGAGGTCTATGTAATCAATGTCATTTATTGCAAAAATTTGCAAACATTTAATAATTTGCAATTATTTTTATTCTTCAAATATGAATGTGTATTTAACTGTCATGAAATAATAAATACAAGTACTTGCTGGACAGACTTCAGGAATTAGGAGGAACTTTTGCAATGGTTCTTCTCTTGTCTCTGTAGCTGTTTCCAGTGGTGTTAGTGGAGGAACAGAGATCTAGACTTAGGTCCTTGCAACATGGAATGCTGCAAGGTTCTGATCACTCATCTTTAACTGTTATATGAAATGGATGGATGAGGTCATTTGATGGCATGAGATGCAGTATCATCAGTACACTCCACTTACTCAATCAGTGTATTGTTTGCTGGTCTTTTATTGTCTTTGGTTTGGGCTGATTGACTGATACATCCTTCATCCTTGTCATGCTATTTCATTGCTGACTCAATAAACTTGTGGTTGTAAAGGCTTGGGTGGAAACAATCTGTCTCTTATTCAACCCTATAGTCTTGTTATTATAAGCAAAAAAGGATCTGTGCTGGACCTCTGTCAGCCTCCCGAGTACACCAGACAGGAAACAAGACTTGGCAAGTTAAATCTATTTTAAAGCTACATTAACTGTATCTTGAAATTCTGAAGGTACAAACCTCTCAATGCCAATTTTAACCATTTACAATTTCTGATTTCTAATCTCTGCTTTACATCAAAACACTCTAACTTTATTATAGAACTTACCTGAACTTTTTTCACTAGCCCTTTCTTTTTTTGTTTACTATCATTAAAGTTGTCTGGTAGAATCTGAGAAGAATAAAAATAAATAATCATTAAAAATGTCTAGTACAATCTAAATATATGTATATATATATGTTTGATGAGAAGTGAAATGTCTTTAAGGAAAATGAAGGAAGTCCAGTTGCTTCTTGAAAAAGTATCTTTGGGACAACCATGACCTGGATAACTGAGAATCTTCACAGACATCTTGGAGCCTTGTTATTTAAGAGGTAAATTGACTCCCATTATTAAGTGTTGAATTCTAGTAGAGACATAATGGCTTCAAAAGTTTGCCAGCAAGGGAAAAACGAATTCCCTGCTCCTACTTTGTCTGCTGAAGAAAAATGTTAACAAATCTATTTATAAATAAAGGCTTTAAAGAAGCTGTCAATAAACTGCTGATAAATGTTGCTTAATCAGAAATAATTATTATCCTTCCCAGATCCCATCAATATTTTTAATAGAGGGAGAAAAAAGCTTTCTTATTTGGAACTTTTAGTGTTTGGGAATCTCTTTTCAGGATTTATAAAAGCATTCAGCAAATATCAGCACAATGCTGCAGAACTCCCCCCCCCCCAAGATATAACAATTAAAGATAATTACATGAGACACTAATAAGAAAAGCACTAAACAAATAGTTTAGAAACAAAGATTTGAAAATATTAATATCAGCCACTTAAATATCTTTATGGAGTCATTTTTCAATGAACATTTTTACAAAATAGATACAATCAGGATATTAATTCCGTAAAATGTAGGGTTTTGCTTTAATTTAAAACTAAAGTCATGCTTAATTAAATTTCTTTGATCAACAACTCAAAATAGTATTTTGCAGCTCACTGGATTACATGTTCTTTGGAAAACAATGAAATAATTATGTATCCAGGTCTGTCTCCTCAGATAATTAACAATTCAGTAAGATATAGTTCTTCCAGGGAAGTAATGGTAAACTGAAGCTAGCTCTACAAAAATGAGTGATAGCCTTAAGTGGTAGCTTCTCCTATCATGAAATCCTTATTACTACTTTGAATTTATTAAAATCTATTCTGATCAAGTCTCAAGTATGTGTTTAACTACATATGTGTAAAACACAGTTTTCCTTAAAGTCAAGAATACTTTTTATGCTTCACTTCATTTATTGTTTGATGTAAACTATTCTTCACTTGATGTCTTTATTTATCCTCTGAAGTAAAAAGTTGTTCATAGGACAGATCAGGAATCTCTTAGAAGGGGCATTACTGACTTTGTTCCCAGTAGATATATTAGTTTAATGAAAATCCCTATCCCTATCACTTGATTTCCACTGAAAGATCTGCAATTTGTTTCTTGGAAAATATTATATCATTTACAGTTTGATAGATGAATGAGGTTATATACATGATATTTAAAACATTTTTCTATTTATTATTTTTAATTTTAACTAAGATACTCTGTACAGTATTGCCAAGTTTCCTACGTGTATTTTTAACAAATAGTTACTCCTTTCTATTGCTTCTGTTTCTTTTGAACATTGTTTTCTTTAATTGTTATTTTCTAATTAAGTAATTCTTCCTGAAAGACAGCAAGATCCTAAACCTCTATTAGTGATCTTGAGAACTGTTTAATTTTACGGACAGTTACAATAAGAGCAAGAGGTTTAATTCTCCTAGATCTGAACCTAATCAAGATGGAAAAGTTAAAATCAGTAGCTGGGGATCCTGAACCCCCGCCTTGGAAAGGATAACCCTATCATCTTAAGTTTCAAATATTATAGAAAGAAAAACGAGGACATAACTGTAAATATATATTCGATTTCAGGAAAGCCTATTTTAATAATGTAGAGCAGAGTTCCCCAATCTTTCTGGCTTTACAGACTGGTGGGAGGGAGAGAGAATGGTCAACTTTACATTAATATTGAGCAAGCAAATTATTAAGCAATTACTTTGTATTTTGAAAAGAATCCATTGTTTGGCAGAAATACACATGTGCTTAATAAGAATAAATCATTCAAAATCAACCAGATCTCCTTTTTTAAAATTAAAAAATACCTATTTAGTTTATATCAGAAGAAAAATGGATCTAATGTATTTGGAAAACAATCTCCCATTATTTTCCAATATTTGCAAAATGAAGACTGGACTACGTTACCTTTAAATAAACTCAGAGCTGGTATTCCAGTGGCATTACCAAAATGAAATTCAGCCACTGGAAATATGGTGGCTGCTTTTAGAATTGAAAGGATTAGTGTGTCAACTTGTAAAGCCTAAGCAGTGTGTCTGTCTCAACCCTTGATTCCCTGCAGGGCTGGGCTAGACTCCATTTTAACCTAATGCGCTAACTGCAAAGATAAAGTTCCTGGGCGAATTGCCAAGCTTAGTCTAAAGTAACTTTTTGTGAAGCACAAAATGTCAATTCTACCTTGTTTGCTATAAGTAACTTAAATGCATTTTTTTCAGCAACTAAATGTGAGAAACAAAGCTCTGGGCTAAAATGTATTTCTTTCCGATATAAGGTTCCTTTGTTTGCAGAAACACTGAGAAAAATCATGATATGAAATAATGTTTCTATAGCAATGACGATATTTGCAAGCTGTATGAACTATAAAAAGTTTGACAAAAAGTTTTTTGCACGCGCCTGTTTTTCTCTCTGCCTGCTCTGTTTAAGGTGGGAGACTAAAAGGTCGCCCTGTTTTTTGCTTTCTGATCAGAAATAAAAGCTGATTATCAGTTGCCTCATGTTCAGAGTTTCATTGGACTTATCAGATTCTGAACTGCACTCAAAAACCTTAACAGAATCATGCCATGATGCTGCATAATCAAGCAATATGTTCCAGCCCTTTGGAAGGCCTCAGAGCTTTTCAAAAGGTGAGGGTGTGTGTGTTTGGCCTGGTGAGGTGGAAATCAGGCCTAAAGCCTGGGGGCCTAGTAACAGTGGTGGGATTCAATTATTTTTTTTACTACCAGTTCTGTGAGCGTGGCTTATTGGGCGTGGCATGGGAAGGATATTGTAAAATCTCCAGTCAGAGACAGTATTCACTGGTTGTCTGAAATACTCAAAATTTCTACTACCGGTTCTCTAAAACTGGTCAGAACCTGCTGAATACCTCTGCCTAGTAGGAATGGAAAAAGTCTCTGGGGAGGGTAGAAGTGAAGCATGGGGCACCTTGGAAGGGAAGCTTTGGGAGGGCAAGGGCAAATGATTCTGGGCCTTTGTTAGGCGTCCAAGAGCCTTCCCTCTGAGGCACCCTGTGTTCCACTTACAACATGCATGTTTGTTAAATGATTCATTGAGGGCAGCTGGGATGGAAAAGTTGTTAATTGAGGTGGTCATTTAACAACTGTTGTGACGTGATATTGGGCAGGCTGTATTACAGTTATATCTTGAAGATTACCTGTACTGGAGCCAATGGTAATCCAAATCAGAGATTTTATGTTTTAAAAAATAGTAGAGTTGAATAGGTTGGTGATTCATATAAAAAAATGACTGAAAATGAATAATTTTATAAAAGTTTTGAAAGAGAACAAACATCTTCAGAATGGACTGACTCACTTAAAAGGCATTTATTGGATTACTAATTACATTTTCAAACAATCCTTGCAATGATGAGCAAGCCCAACTGCATTATCATTAATGGAAAGTATTATACTTTAATTTTATTGCTGTAGCTGGAATGTGGCTTGAAAATTAAGCTGCTTATTGTGTAGTCTTTGATTTTCATTCTAGTCAAAATCTAGTCCTATTTTTGTGAGACTTTTGAATCCCACAGTATACATAATATACATTTGTCATATGAAGTAGAAATATTTAAATCAAAAACAAAGATAATGATTTTTCTAGCTGTCCCTCCAATATGGTTCATAAGTGATTCAAAATTATGATGGCACTTTCTGAAGGAGTTACAACCCATACCTGAAATTATAGCCATTGCACTGCACCTGCATGTCACAATTTGGGTGCTTGGTATGATGCCTGCCATTACAGCCTTGAGGGTGCTGCAACTCCCACCTCAGCCACACACACCCATGGCCCACCACCAATGCAAACTTACCCAGAGGCCTTGGCCTATCTACTTTGACCAGCCCCACCAGATGACTCTAGCCTTCCCCCCACCCCACCATGTCCTGGTTTACTTTTTTGTGCAGCGGCTAAGAGGCATGCCAAACTACTGCCTGATACAATGAGTCATAGCAAACACAATGTTTCTGATGGGTAGAACCAGCTTCTCTAGTCTTCAGAAACATCACATTCATTAGCCTTCTAGTCAAAACACCACTTTCTAGCCTTCTGAATAATTGTGAGAAGAACACCAACCCTATCCCTTCAGAAAATTGTGTTTGCTAGGTTTCTGGTTAGATGGGAACTCCTACAGCAGGCCAGAGAAAGGAAGCTACAGTACATTTTATTCATATATGAGATGTACAAAGACTACAGTAAAAAGGAACATGTTTCTTTTAACTGTGAAGTTTTCAAGTAGTCATCTGTGCACCCACAACTACCTCCATCCCCTCTATATATGCCTTGAGATACATAAAAAGACAGAAGAAAAATCTAATAATAATAGCACCACTTCTTTAAAAAGCTGAAAAAAGTGGCCGCCTGCTTAGCTGCAGCAAGAACACTGCACAAACTGACAATTAACAACCACATGACAAAGTAAAACAATGGTATATACTTGTAAGAAATACCATCTACCTCCAAGAAAGAACTGGTGGGATTACAAAATAGACAAAGTTATAGAAAATGAAGAAAATAAAGTGGTTTGAAACTTTAGGATTCAAATAGACAAGCATTTGCCACATAACACTTAAGGCTTAACAATTATAAGAAGACAAAAAGGTCTGGATAGTAGATATGTCAGTACCTGGAGATAGCAGAATAGAACTAGAGAAGATAATAAAATATAAAGACCTGTAAATAGAAAGAATAACTGTAGAAAGCAAAAGTAGTAGAAGTAGTGATAGGTGCCTTGGGTGAATCCCAAAACAACTGGGGCATCACTTGAACATCATCAGCATTGACAAATTAACCATCAGTCAAATGCAAAAAAA